AATTATAATAAAAGTCATTCATTTTCAAGTAAACAGAAATCGCTAACACCCAAGAAGATTAGAAATGTCTATACAAATAAAATTGCAAACAAGATCTTTGCAAATGTGAGGTTAGCTTGAAAAACTTTTGGCTAAGTTTTGTCTCTCAGTGACAGTAATGTAATACGATTTAGTGACAGAATTAATTTAAGTGTCTAACTACTAAATATTATTGGTCTGCAAGTCAAGAAATCAAACTAAAGAAAATTGCAAAGTAACTCAACAAGGACTACAACTTAAAAGTTATAGACATTCATTCTAGTTCTTTACTTACAGAGAGAAGAGTGCCCAGATTTTCTCTTATCAAAGCAAAAGAGACCCTGAAATCAAACACATTGAATATGTTCATCACATTTTTCCAAGAGAGAGCAGCAGTCATGTTGCTGCTGTCGGGTTTGACTGTTGTGATTGTTCCATTTGTTGATACTTCCTTTGTTGTTGAAGAATTGCCCTGTAGATAGATGGAGAGATACAGCATTAGAAAGCAGTAACTCTTTAGTAAGTGAATGGAAACCACAGAACTCATAAGTCACCCAGCAACAAATCTTAAGAAACCCTGTATGAAGAGCACATGATCACTGAGGCAAAATTACCTAATAGAACAATAAAATTAATACCTCCAAGCATAGCAAGCCTGAGCAGCACATGGACATAATTTAAATTGAGATGTGTAGATGTGCAGAAGTTGACTGTAGAGTTATTTCCAAGCATAAATTGTTTGGGAATATTATTTCTTGTTTTATTTTGTGCTTACCCAGTTAACCCATGAATTATAAATTCTATCAGTCAGATCAAGCACTTGTTCCTGGAGTTCACTGGAATTGCTGTCACCAAACATGGATTGAACCTGTAAACAACAAAACACACTGACCTCTCATGATTGACTGATCAAACAACAAAGCAAAAAACAAGACCAACAGCAGTTCTGATGGTGACACATTAGAAAACACCCTGTGTGATTGTACAAGCTAAGAGCCAGGTTGCTATAAAAACACAGAACTACCACATTCTGATAAATGCAACAAGAGTGATTTTCTTTCCTTTCTTCTCACTATTTACATGAAAATAAAAAACAATTTTTTCTACCAAGTTACAGAAACAGTTGTGAAAGTTCAAGACAATGCAAAGAAGCATTGTGTTCTCGTAAACTTCCAAGTTAGGTTCTATCACTTCTTAGTATAAATCTAGTGTTCTATCACAAATGCCATTCTCTGATTGGCTACGCTACTCATTATCTATTCTGTGATAGATAGTGAGTAGCGCAGAAATGAACCCTTGTTGACAAAATGAAGGCCATTTCTTTGTGTTTTCCAAGTGTCTGAAGAGGATTCAGGTGAAGTTTTGATAGATGTATGCTAAAACAATTAGATTATTCGCTCTAGATTTCTATGCATGATAGAAATCTTGAGCTCATAATCTAATTGTTTAATAGAAATATGCAAAAAGATTCTCTATTTTGGTTTAGAAATGTCATTTAATATAAATGCCATAGAAGGTCCAAATTTGCTCAAAATTAGGGCTTTAGAGAGATCAGAAATTGGGCCTTTTCTTAGGAAGAGAATGGACTCAAAAGGGCCTAAGAATGTTTTGCTCACACTGATATTAAACAGCATAAAAAGTTCTTTAAATAGAATTTTGAACCTGCAATAGATTATTATATATAACAATTAAATTATTAACAGCTTCAAAGCTTGCAGAGCTCATGTGCATTTGTACAACTTTATTGTACCTTGACTGCTATAAATTTTCTTCCGTGCTTGTAGGCTCTTTCTACAGTTGATTCTAGAGTTTTCTTCAGTTCTTTGTTCTCTTGGATCCAACTAATATGGTAACAAAACTCAATAGTTTAAAATTCAATTGTTAATTAGCACCCATGCCTAGTTTTAAAAGCAAGAAATAGTGGTGCCAGCCCGTGAAACATGTCGAGTAATGTCTGTATGATAGGGTTGAAGGGGGAAAATTTAAGGCTATACGAAAATTCAAAACAATACAATGACAACAAATAATAAAGAAAGTACCAGTATTTGCAGTCAATAATTGTTATAAAAAACCTCACCTACTTGTAAATTTTTTACTATGTTTGACTCAGGCTTCAAAAAAAAGGTTTTAATATCTGTAATAACAGACTTGACAGCAAAGTGTAAGCTATTGATCACCAATGTTATGCTTTCTCTCGCAAGCCAACAATAATCTTCTCAGTAGTGATAACTACATGGACATGTACATGAATTTGCCAGAATTTGTTGATACCATCTGATTTAAAGACAAAAAGTTAGTATTTGTAGCTACTGTTTTGCACATAGTACAGACCTATGTGTGGTGTGTCATGTGTTAGGCATGTGTGAGGAAGTGTGGCCTTAGTTAAAATTTCTGGTAGCCATACTCGAACACAAGTAGTTGTCGATAATTTAACTTCAGATTGAAGAAGACATTTATTATTGAGTTCTATTGTGATGCTCAGAATGAAACAGTTGGTAAGTTCTGTACTTTTGGCTCATTGATTTGTTCGATTCATTTTCATTTTCTCATAGTCCTTGTTGTAGAAAATCTGAACTTTGACTTCTTGAAGGTGGATTGTTTGTACCTGGATGTTGTGTATCTACATGTAATTAACTACAAAAGTTCAGAGTCTTTGACGAATCATTATTAAGAGTGTGAGCTTGGTAACAATATTATTACTAAAATTAAAGCAAATCTTAAATTGCTAAACATGGTTAACAGATGTGTGTTGTAGTCCCCATGGCTTTCAGAAATCTTACTTGACAAGCTGCGGATTGTCAGCCATCACCTTGTTTACTAGGTTGGCACTTACAGACACCAGTTGTGCACTTTCGTGATGAACCTGACAAAAGAAATATA